CTTACAGCACTTGAGTTCAATTATTCTTTCCTTTAATGGGCCTTTCCCTCCATCTCCTTGCCCTAACATAAATCATATGTTATATGCATCCCCAATGAGTTCCTTGATCTAGATGACAGTGAGCATCAGAACTGGTTCCTAGTCTTCCATTCACAGCACACGTTTAGTGTTTATCTGGGCAGCTTGCTCTGTGTCTACCAGTCTTGTGTCAGGTGTGCTTTTATTCAGTGAATGTGTTAGCCATCCCAAGACAAGTGTCATAGCCTCCTTGGCATTAGCCCTTTCTTGCTTCTCTTATCAAGTACAAGTGCAATGGCACACAAAGATGTAAAACGTATATTCATTACAAGCCAATGAACAATTGTTTTTAGGTAATACAGTGCAATGGTAACTTTTTGCCAAGTGGCTTACTAAGTGCTTCATAGACTATTTCCAAAATCAAGTTTCTCCCTGAGTATGTTTCACTTAGGGAAGAAAAAATTATGCTACTATTATTATTAATGTAATGTGACTTAGGGTGCATCTGCCTCTAGGAAAATAAAAATCTCTAATTTAAGGACATTTATGGTTCCATCGACTACAATGAGTTATAGCTGTTGGTCAAGCAGCAGTTTGTATCTAGAGTATTCTTTCTTAATTTTATTTGTTTATTTTCATTTTATATGAAAGCCAGAGAGACAGAAAGAGACAGAAATTTTCTATCCACTGGTTCACTACCCAAGTGCCCACAACTGCTAGGGCGAGGGCTAGACAAGGTAGAATCCAGGATCCTGGAACTCAGCTCTGGTCTCCCTCATGGGTGGACCCAGGTATTTGAGACCTCATCCGCTTTCTCCCGGGATGTGTATTATCAGTAAGATGGCTTAGAAGCAGAGTAGCTGGGACTCAAACCAAGCACTCTGATACGAGATGTGGGTGTTCCAATTGGCAACCTAACTGTTGTGTCAAACATTTACCCCTAAAATATGTTTAAATTTAATATTAGCTGCACCACAGTTACCTCCTAGGATACGTGAGGGCAGACTAGTGAGGTAGACATTTTTCTCATAATTACTTACTGGTAAGCTCCTGTTGGTGTGATCCAGGGAGATACGGTTTACAGCCTGAGATTCTGTGTTGCTTAAACAGTGTATGTTCACTCCCTGAGATCTCAGTCTAATACAAGGTACTTCAAAAAGTTTGTGGGAAAATGGAATTAAAAGACAAGTTTATTTTGATTCAAAATTTTTTTACAGCCATGCATATTTTTTTCATAATATTTATTTTCCATGAACTCCTTTAAGATACCTCATATGCAACCAGAAAATATTTGAATAGCCTAAAGCAAATATTGCAAAGTTCCAAACTTTTTTTTTTTAATTTATTTATTTTAAAAGTAGTTACAGACAGTGGGGAGGAGAGACAGAGAGAAAGGTCTTCCTTCCGTTGGTTCACTCCCCAAATGGCCACAATAGCCAGAGCTGCGCTGATCCGAAGCCAGGAGCCAGGAACTTCCTCTGGGTCTCCCACGTGGGAACAGAGACCCAAGGACTTGGGCCATCTTCTACTGCTTTTCCAGGCCACAGCAGAGAGCTGGATTGGAAGAGGAATAGCTGGTACTAGAACCAGCATCCATATAGGATGCTGGCGCCGCAGGCGGAGGATTAATCCACTGCACCACGGTGCCGGCCCCCAAACTTTTAAAAATCATAAGACTTCACATCCTTGTAGGATATCTGGAAAAGTGGCAGAACTGGGCAGTGTGACCTTCATCATCTAAAGGTGAGAAGATGCAGCCTCCTCCAGACCGGGATGGGTTCTCATGGCAGATGTCCAGCTTCCTTGGATTCCTGAGGTTGAGACTCCCATAGCTGCTTTCCTAAATCCCAGTTACTAAGTAAGAACTTGGCTGCATAGTCAGGGGTCCTGAGAGTGTGTAGGAATGGACAAACAGGCATGAAACCTAGGAGCAGGAATATTTGAGTTTTTTTTTTTTCTATCAAGATCTACCCTCGGGATCTGGTCCATTGTGACCAGTTCATTTCTCAGAATTACAGAATCATAGAGACTTTTTAAATCCCCCATCCCTTCAACACATGTAACAATCAACTTTTCCTTGTGTGTAACATCACTTTTGTTCTCTATCATAGGATTGTATTCGGCAACACTGTTCTCTTTTTCTTATTGTTCATGCACACTTGTCTTGTCATGTTCCAACAAAAATACTAAGTTATGAAGGAAGGAGATATATCATGAAGTCTTCTTATTTATCATATTATTTAATACATATTAAGTGTTCATTATTTATTGAATAGACCCATTAAAGACAACTTAGTTCACTTTTCATCATCTCAGTTTACTCACAAAAGAGAATGCTCATTTCAGTCCCCAAATCTCATTTATGTCATTGAATTTTTCCTGATCACAGTACAAGACTATAGAAACGGCTTCTCTACTGACAGCTATTTCATATATGCAATATACGTTGTATTAAAAATAAATTCATGATACATTTCAGGGGGAAGCTCTGGTTTAAAAATAGGAAAAGGCTCTGGTGATTAGAACAAATCTTGAAGAAAAATGTGATTATTTTGGTTTATGCAAGAAAAAAATCAATTGGCCTGGAGGAAATATTTTATTTTTCAGATTTACTCGAAAGGCAGAGTTACATAGAGGAAAGAGAAACAGAGAGAGAGAGAGAGAGAGAGAGAGAGAGAATCTTCCATCTGCTGGTTCACTCCTCAAATGGCTGCAATAGTCAGGACTGGGTCAGCCAAATCCAGGTGCTTTTTCTGGGTCTCCCATATGGAAGGCAGAGGTCCAGGTGCTTGGACCATCTTTCACTGCTTTCCCAGGTCATTAGCAAGGGGCTGGATCAAAAGTGGAGCAGCCTGGGCTCAAACCACCGCTCATATGGGATGTGAGTGTTGCAGGTGGCAGCTTAACCTGCTATACCACAATGCTGGCCCCTAGAGGAAACAAACAGTGAAGGAAAGTACTTCTCCAGATATATTGATGATTTTATTGTGAGTTATAAGAAGCATTTTTGAGGGGGAGAATACATGGATGCTTCAAATGAACCCCCAAATTTGGGTGAAACAGAGTTTTTATAAGTCTGTGTTCTTTCTGGGTCTAACCTGGATAGCGACCATAAACTGCAAGGTACAGATTCAAGTTCTCTGTCTGTGTTTCAAAATGTGAGGTCAAGAATTTAGATTCAAGTGGGAAATCTTATGTGACTTATTAGTTTTCTTCAAATAAGTCATGCTATTGGATCTGTTATTATTGTCCAGTTGATTGGACAGCCTGTAAAGGCATCCATCCAACTGTGGAAGGCTGACTTCCCAAACCAGCAGCCAACTGAGAAAGGTTTCCCCTTGCTACCCAAAACTATTTTTCTCCTTTTCCTTCAGAGCATGTGCCTTTTGCTGAATTAATAAATCCAAGTTTATTTTACCTTTTCAGAAGATTGCAGAGGTAAGAGGGTGAAGATGGAATGGAGAAAGGATGCATTCCCCAGTAAAGGTTGCTGAAAATGGCCAGTTCCGAGGAGAGGGGCTTAGGCCTAGGTCACGCCCCTTTCTTTCTGAGAGCGAATAAAGGATCAACTCAAAGCGAAAGGTTCCTAGCCCTTAAGTGTCATGTTGAATTTCTTCTATTCACTGAAGAGTGTCTATTTAACCTATATCCCAGAAAAACTGATGTTGAAATTGTCTTCAGGAGGACAAAAATCCAGGTTAGCCACCGACACAGCTTTGTGAAGCACAGTCTTGGTCGGAAAAATCAAGTCCTCTTCTCAGACAAAAATTAGCTATGGAAAATCCCAGAAAACCTTATATGTCTTAGATTCATGAGTAATTATATTCTGGATTGGATTTTATGCTAAAATACCAGGACTACATAAACTAAATTTTGTAGATATCATGTGACCATAGACGTTATAGGAATTTTGTATGTAAGAAGGACATTTTCCAAAAATAGTGATACCAGCCTAAAATTGTATAAAAACTGTTGTTGGCAGGACATTGGTTCTAGACCCAAGACTGTGTAGTCCCTGGTTGATGGAAAAAGGACATCCTCCATTAATTTTGTACTTAACACTGACACAGGTGAGGCAGAGACCTTGGCAGTAAGGAATATAACAATTGAATATGTCCCTGGTAAACTAGCAACTAAAACTAAGAAAAGTACATCAAGGATGGAGAAAAGTACATAAATGTAAGGCAAAATGGTTTAAAAATACATATGTAGAATATATATACATATATATGTATACATCTATATATGTATATATATGACAGGAAAAGATCTGAGTTTCAGTAGATAAGGAGCTGATGCACTGTCACAGTGTCAAAGGCTGAGAGAAGGCCAGGTGAGAATAGAGCAGTACTACCTCAGGATGAAAACTGAATCCATATTGATGGAATTCCAGGGCCAGGAGAAAGTGGGCTAGATTACTTGGAGATAGTGTAGCACAGGCTGCCAATCATCGTTTTAAAAAATAAAGTTTTGGGGATTCTGTCTGCAAAAGAAATGGCTGAAGAGTGAGGCTACAGACTTTGTGGAAACAAGGATCATCAATTATAGGCTAACAGTTCCATCTTTACTGAGATGAGAAGAAAGCAAAGGAGACATCAGCCATGATACAAGGACTTGTACATCACAGTCATAGAGTGTTATCAAGAACTTTCCATTTTAAATCCTTCTCTGGTCTTGCTTAACTCAGTCTGGAAAAATTTACATGTGATTCTATTGGTAATTACAGGGGTGGCTAAGATGATATTCCTCAGGGCTTTCTAGATCAATATTTGCATACCATTTTCATAGGTGTTAGGACCCTTATGCCTTAAGACATTTCCAGTTTTTAGGAATTATTAGTCTTCATTATAAGGCTCAAAAACCAAGTATCAGAATCTGTGGTTTTGAACCCAGATTTCTTGACTGCAATTTTTACACATTTTCAACTATGTCATGCTGCCTACAATTATATGAAATTATATGTCTCTTTTTCATTTTATCAGTCCTTGCAAAGAAGAAAGGAACTGTGACACGTTTCATGAAAGAAGTTGCTCCCATAGGCTTCTCTCTCTGAGGCTGGGATGAGACAGCAGAAGCAAGTGAGTAGCCTGCAGATATAGAGGGAGTGCTGTGAACTTTGGAGAATCTCTCTCTCTCTCTCTCTCTCTCTCTCTCTCTCTTTTTTCTCAGATGTATTTATTGATTTGAAAGGCAGGTGGGGGGAGGGAGGGCGGGGAGAAAGAGAGAGTGATTTTTCCATCCACTAGTTCACTCTCCCCAAATGGCTATAACGGCCAGGGCTGAGCCAAGCTGAAGCCAGGAGCCAGGAACTCCATCTGAATCTTCAACGTGGGTGCAGGAGCCCAAGTATTTGAGCTGTTTTCCACTACCTTTCCAGGTACATTCGCAGGGAGCTGGATTGGAAGTGTAGCAGCAGGGACTTGAACAGGTGCCCATGTGGGATGCAGGTGTTGAAGGTAGCAGCTTAACCTGATGCCGATCCTTGGAGAATCTTCTTGTCCATTTCTATCTTTCATTCTCTTCTACAGCGCAATCTTTTCTTGGTCAATCATATTCTCTATTCATAAAGCACATTTAGGAGTGGGATACACAGTGAATATATCTTCTTGAAGCTATTGTCACATTCTCAATTTGGAGGATTGTTTTCTTTCTTCTTCATGTGTAACCTTTAGGAAGTGAGGTTCTGTCTTGCCCAGTGGAATAGAGATACTGAGTTCGCTATCAGTTTCCTGTGTGTCACATGGCTATGCAAATGCTACTGTGACCTATTTGTTCACTTGGTATTGAAGATATTATAATAGTTTTTCTTTAATTGCCTCCACAATTATTTAATATAGAATATAAAGCTCTCTTGTCGATTGTGAAGAAGAATCAATCAAAAAGGAGGCTTTCATTTTTTGGTGGAGAGAGCAGAACAGTCTGAAATGTGTTTCCCTCATATTGCTGGAGAGACTCTTTGGTGCCCATTCTCTAATCAGCAACACATAGGGCGATTTATATTCCATCACAGCTTTCCTTTCTAATATACATATTTCAAATTAACAATAGGCTCCTCTCTTGAAACTATGTCCTGTGTCATTCCTCCTAATGAAGGACCTCTTCTGAATGCTTATAGTTTACTGCTAGCCTTGCTGCCTACCATCCATCACTGTGCGTCCCTGTGACCAGGAATCCTTCTAAACATTGGCAATCCAAGGAGTGAATGTCCACATAAATGAGCTCCTGCTCCTTCATCTGCAGCGGAATCTTTATACTAAGTGGTTTCCCTCATGACCATCCTTTGTTCTGCATCAGGGCTTGGCCTCTGGGAGGCACACAGTTGCCTAGTAATTGAAATTGGAAATTGATTTATCCTGCTATGATGTGGATCTATACATTGGCTGGAAGTTTATGGAGAAAAATGATGAATCACACGTTTTTAGGATTTCTTTCCAACCCTGAGAATATATTATGCCTCATAAAATTTTTAGGAACAGAAAGTAGAAATAAATTGAGCATTTCTGCTTCCTTCCTCCAGTCTTCCTGTTTTGGGTCAGATGAGAGCCTTCTCATTGTATCTTTAATATTTTGTTCCATAATAATTTGGATACCTCTTAGAAATGCCACAGTTCATTTGCTTGGGGGAAGCTGGTCAATAACACCATTATATATTTATGTGGTTTTGTGGGGAAGTTAAAGATCAATAGAGGTCTTTCCAGCCATGTGACTATAATGATGGCTTTATTTTCCTTCTCTATTAATTATTTATTAAATACTTCTTTGTGAACAACACAGTCCTAGATCTTGAAAGTGATTGACTGAAAGGACTTTATATGAAGCTCTTTGTAGTATTTCATCCTGCAACTTTGGATTATATTGAAATGTGTTTAAAATTATAGAAGATATGTAATGATAAACATTTTATCAGTCACTGCTATATTTCAAGATACCATTGAATCACAAAATAGATGCAATATCTTTACATCCTTTGGAAATGTAATAATTTACTTAGAAACAGTCAAGATTCTCTAGTCATCATATAAAGGCAAAAAAAATGCTAACTGACTATAACTGAGCTGAAGTATTAATCTCACTTCCGTGGGTCAATCCTTTCATAAACTATGATAATTGTATACATATAGTGTAGATATTTTCCTGACAAGGAAAAGGAAAAAAAAACTCTGCTTTCTCAAAATGCCAGGAAAGGAATGTATAATGTTGAGTTCAGGTGTGATGTGTTGTCCCAGACTTGCCAACTGTGGCCTTATGTAAATCACTAGCTGGGTCTGCTAGTGTTCAGAGTACTTGACAGAGAAATGCAGGAACTTCAGAGTTTTCTGAAGTGGCCCAGGTCCTCTAACATGAGTCAATGTTCTCTTCCATCTGGAAGAGTATGGGAAAGGGAAGGAAATGTTTATAAAGTGAGCTTGAAAGTGAGTTTTCCCTAGGGGCTATAGATCGCTTGTGGCCACCATGGCTTCCCCCTGCCAGTGTTCTGGGATGCATGGGATGGTATCCTCAGCCATCCTTTCAGCTCTTATTTGAGAGCAAGGTCAGCAGCTTCTAACGGTGTCACCTTTGTTGAGGTGATAAAGACTAACCAAGGCCTTTGAAGTCATTCACCAGATGGTAGACTGAGGTCTTGAAGAGTTCACTTTCTCTCGCCCGGCTCTGTGATTTCAAACTTTCATAAAGGTCTGTAGTAAACAAAACATGACATACTTTGACCAGACCTCAACGTGGGAGGCAGATTGTTGAGCTTTATTTAAACATTGTATTGATGCTGGGTGAGAAAGGCAAGGAAGTGAAGTGAAGGGAAGACAGATTCGGACAGATGACCTCATCAGTCACGTATTGCCTAAGTGGAAGCAAGTCCTGCTCATTCTGAGTGTGCTCTTCTCTGGTGATGGCTCTCCTGGTGACAGGGACATGTCCAGTTTGTCACCGATTTCCCATGGAGATGAAGCAGTGTCCCCTGGTGCTATTTGCTTGTCCCTCTGAGGGTCTCCTGCAGGTTCTCCCAGTGCCTTTGTTGCTATGGTTGCTCCTGAATGCACACACCATGCTAAAAATAAATTCCAAGGGAAACTTTCCAGCTGCCTGGAAAAAGAGTTTTCTGCTCTCTTTGTACTTATATCCAACTGGCTTATGCTTGATATGCTCTGAGAAGCTGGATCTAATACAGATGCCATACCCAGAATCAGCAGATGGGCTGAAGGCAGAGAAACTTTATAGGCGACAGAGTGCCAGAAGAGTCAAGAGCCTATATTCCATGACCTTGCTCAATCATGTGCCTTTGAGAAAAAAAATGAGTCATTTCTCAGGATTTCGATTTCTTTACCTGGAAAATGCAAACAGCATCAAAGGAGCGTTCTCATTTTATGAGTGTGCTGATGCTTTCTGAATCTGTTTTAAGCATGTCTGTGTCCTGGCTTTAACTCCTACACCAATCATTAAGCTGTGGCAGCTGACCAACATTGCCTCAAATTATTATCAAGCAGAACTTTAAAAGAATGGTTCATGTGACTTGATGTTAGGATTCATATGATAAAAATCAAACACAGACACTCTGTGTGTGTGTGTGTGTGTGTGTGTGTGTTGGGGGTATTTATTCATTATCCACTCTTGCAGCAATGGCTGAGTTCTTTTGAGGCATTGGATTTTTATACAGCTGGCATTGAACTGAGCACTATTAAGAAAAATAAATAGTAGGGCGAACTTGATATCAAATTAAAAGAATATAGATTTAGGAATGAGATGACGTTAACATAATGGGAATAAAATATAAACAAAATATTTGCATGTTTTCTGATTATAAAGATATCTATGTTAGCTCTTAAGTGGAAAAATCTGTGAAGTTAACATTATTCATCTTTCTACTAACAGTTGTCTTGACATTATATCATTTAATTTTTGACTTATACTAGATCTTCTAGGATATAAGAACAAAGATAAAACCCCAAGGGATAAAGGGAAATGTGTTCATGAATTAAACAAAACTCTCGCCAAGATAAAGCTATGTAGCTTATTCATGACAATAATATTTAGTACACACCAAATGTGAAGGATTCAAAAATTCTACTAAAATTGACTTCATAATCTTTAGCGGTGCCCTCTCAGGGAAGGAGCTGCTAGAATTCTCTAGTTCTAAAACAGGAATGGAGACAGAAAAAGACTGACCAATATCTATCACCAGGATTTATTGTTCTCAGCAATGTTTATGCTGTCTGCCTGCTTAATGTGCTCTGTATTCTTATTTGCAGGAATCTTTTTGGAGAGGGCTCAAGGGATGGCTTTCTATTATTAGCTATTGGTAAAGTAATTAAACTTGGTAAGCCTGCAACCTTGGTTTTCGAGAATTCTCTCTCCTGGACAGTCGACGAGTCTTGACAGGGAGCAATGTGGGAATCACAGATGTGCAGTAGGGTAAGAACACACACCTCAGAAGGATGCAGCTTGGCCACCTCGTGGGTTTGCAAGCAAATTTAGAAATAGAGGACTTCTTAGGAACTTTGAAACATACTCAAATAGAAGGTCATGCTTTGAAAGCGAGAGGACAGAAGTCTTCCGCTAGTAGCTGATATAAAACAGACTGCAGAAGGGAGAGAATGTTGCTATCTACTATAACTCATAGCCACAAATATGCCTAAGACTATGTCTCCACTTTTCCTCCCTGAAGACCAGAGGTGAATAAGAAAAACTGATTTGTTGGATACAGCCACTTTAGTAACTGCTTCAGTTATTAAATCAGTCATGGAGGGCCATGACTGGAACTCAAAGGAATCCAAAGTCCAGAGTCCTCCAGGCAGTAGGCAGAACTGAAGTCATCCATATATGTAGATACCTCCATCCGAATTCCTCTCATGCATTTCTTCTGTTGAGATACTGGGGCAAGTTCTGGAGGAGATGCGAGAGATATAAGCTAAGTATGTAGTTGGCTGTCACAGTAGGGAAGTTAACAGCACATGGAATGACCATGTGTGGTCAGTCAGTAGTTTATGTCAGTGCAATTCTTGTGAGTGGCAATGCAGGACAAATGTTAGCATAAAAGTGGCAGACGGCGGCATCACAGACTACAGAGGACAATGAATTAGCCAGGTAATCATTCCAAGTATCTTCTAAATAAGAACAGTCTATTTGGGAAATAGTTGATAGATGATGATAGCTTTGGAATCCGCATGGAAGGAAGGCCTACACTTCCGGGAATGGAGAGGCCTACTTCCGGGGAAGAAAGTCCTTGTCAAGGTCCCTGCGGGTGCCTAAAGGTCAACCAATGAGGATCAGACCCACCTCAACCTTTAACCCCCAAGCCCTGAATCTATAAAAGGAGCTCTCCCAATCTCTGACATGCGACTTCCCCGGCCCCCGCTCTGTTGCTCTGTTGGGACCGGGGAACCTCGCCCGGGAGCGGAACCCCAATAAAAGCCTGTGAATTAATTGATTTGTTGGCCTGGGAAGATCTGTTCTGCGCCAGACAACTTACAGATGGTGCCGAAACCTGGGGAAAGACCATCAGTTTATTCTTTCAACAAATATTTACTGAGTGCCAAACCTGTATAAGATATTACAATAAAACCTGTACTATAAAAATGAAGTAATTTATTCCTAATAAATTACTTAAATAAATTAATAAACCCTATATGACATCTCACATCTTCAAACTGCATTTTGTGAAAGGGGAGAGCATGTTTGTAACAGGAGTAGCTTGAGCAAACAGTAGTTGGCAGAAAAGTTCTGGCGTGCTGGGTTGAAGATGAGAGGACACTTGGACAACAGGGAGACATAGGCATGTGCTATGGCATGCTTCCACACTGGAGTAAACATGAGGTTCATTGGGGACTTCAGCTGAGAAATGTCCATCTGAGTGGTCATGATAGAATGTTGCATGTGGGAATTCAATTTTTTATGGGACTAATCATTTTATCTATTATATACATTAACAATAATAGAATTTCTTTTCCTATTTCCTTGGAAGATAGGAAGATATATCATTGAAAAGGCTTAGTCTGCTTCTCTGTCTCCTCTTTTTTAAGTATTCAAATCAAACCTACAGTTGTTAGGCCCTGACCCAAAACTCTGATGAGCAAATGCCGTGTTTACAATAGACAATATTGCTGGGGAAAACACTCATGTAGCCCACATAATCTTCTTAGGAAATTAAAAATCCCTATCAAACCATATAAAAATCATTCCTAAAATCCTAAATGAGGATAGGATGAATTAGAAGGAAAAGAGAGTAGAAGTGACAAAGGAAATAAGGTGCTTAGAGCACTAGTTCCAGAGAAAGCTAACTGGAGTCCCAGCTAAGCCAGTGGCAGGAGAATGGAAATGCAGAGAGAAGCCAGATCCCTCACAAAGGTCAAATGGAAATTGGATGAGAAGAGAGAAGGTTGAACAGTTTGCATTAATAATGGAGACATGCAGTGAACTGATTTAAAGGTTAGGCAAGGTCAGTATGCATATGATGGGCATCTGTCTGACTTGAGATTGTGACAGATAGGGAGCCTGAATTCACAGAGGGGTCAGGTAGCAGAGAGAAATTCGGGACATATCTGCAAAGAGGTATTCGAAGAGTTAGAGCCAATATCTAAGTTAGTCATTTAGATATGGAATTTTGCCAACCTTTGAAAATATTAAATATGTGACAACAAAGTCTAAATTGTATTTTTTTGTCAGGCAGAGTTAGACAGTGAGAGAGAGAGACACAGAGAGAGTTATAGACAGTGAGAGAGAGAAAGAGAGAAAGGTCTTCCTTCCGTTGGTTCACTCCCCTAATGGCCGCTATGGCCGGCGCTGCACTGATCCGAAGCCAGGAGCCGGGTGCTTCCTCCTGGTCTCCCATGCAGGTGCAGGGACCCAAGCACTTGGGCCATCCTCTGCTGCCCTCCCGGGGCACAGCAGAGAGCTGGACTGGAAGAGGAGCAACCAGGACCAGTACCCGGCGCCCCAACGGGGACTAGAACCCAGGGTGCTAGCACCGCAGGCAGAGGATTAGCCAAGTGAGCCATGGCAGCGACCCTAAATTGTATTTTTTTTCTTCACTGATAAGACTGGCCTGGCCTCCACTCATCAGTCTTAGTCTTTTTCTGGAGCCCTAGTGTGGCTCACCTGAAGCCACCTACTTTCATGTCGGGATCCCAGGCCTTGTAAAGTCCTAGACTTCCCCAGGACCCAACACAACTCCTTCTCTCTTGTCACCCATCACTATTGTGGGTGTGAAGGCAAGAGTTCGTTATTCCTCCTCCCTTCCAGCTGGCCATGTATCTACATGTATGGCCCACAGGCTTAGACAGTTGAATAGAGGCATAAAGAGGCAAATGGGCCTGACTCAGCCTTTTCCCCTCTCTTATTTATCCCACTGGGTACTATCCCTAGAGCCAGAACAGTCATTGTTCTACACTGAGCCAACAAGCACAAGAGAACTTCAGAGGCACAATGGCCTGATAGACTTAAGCCTCCAAACCCGTAGCAGCAGCCTTCCACGTCTAGTCTTCTTGTTATGCAAGCAAATGAAATCCTTATTTGTGTTCGCAACTCTAAGGTTTTCTGTGACTCCCAGCCAAGCATGTTCTTAATTCCTGTATTGTGCTGTTTTGTGGGGTTGAGAATTTCCTCAAGGGCATGTTCTAGTTTTCTACTGCTGTGTAACAAGCAACCTCAAAGCATAGTGGCTTAAAGTAACAATGACCATTTATTTTACACACAAATCTCCTATTTGGTCAGGGCTCAGTGATAATAGTTCCTCTGCTCCAAGTGGTATTAGCTGGAAAACTTTGATAGGGGACTGGAGACACACTTACAGAGTTTATACTATCCAGCTTGACTTGGATATTGGTTGGAGTTCTGGGTCAGAGGTCTGTATTCCCCTCCATGTGTGCCTTCCGTGGTTGCCTGGGCTTCTACATAACTTGGTGGTTGAAGTCCAAGAGCAAGTGTAGCAAAATAACAAAGGCCAAGTTCATGGAATTTTCACAACTTACAAGCACAACTGCCACCATAATATATTGGTTGAGGTAATCACAAATACCCATCCAGGTTGAAGGAGAAATGAGCATCAATGGTGTCTCTTAATAGGGCTATAGCAAGGCTCTAGAGCATGTACGATGAAAGATATCGCTGCAGCCATCTTTGGGAAATAAAACTCCTAGACGGTATCTTACCAGAATGCATGTATCTGCTGATAATTGCTTACCATTATTGCACTCTACAGTTTATGGATTATATTTGTATTATAGAAGAAAAAAGAATACATTGAAAGCAGAGTACTTACTTGCTAAAAAATCCTGACAAAGTTTTCAAATAAGGGAAGTCACATGGACTAACAAGTTACCTACCTTCTCTGTGTAATATTAACCAGATAGCCCAAGACTTGTCTTGAAGACCAAGTGCATTTTAAAGAGACACATTTAATCCTATTCAGTTATAGGGGTCCTCACTGGATGGTAGATATAGAAGAACTGTATGTTTGGCCTTCTCCCAACCAAGTAAGAAAACTCTGTCATGTAGGCAAGAATTCAGTTTGTGTATGTGTGTAGGAGTGTGTTGGGGACAAGACCACCTTACCAGAGACCAAAAATAACATCCATCAGTGCTAGAAAGAGCCACAGTCACCATTAAATATTTTCCATTAGAGAGAGTCCCTCATTTTTGTCCAATGATGTCAGGAAACAATAAAAGGGTATTGTGTTGGTGAGTAGCCAGTCTGCCCTCAAACCTATTCTCTGACCTTGCCTTGCTCTGCTGTAGCACATGGAATGACACTTCCAAGATTGCTCTGCCAGTGGGGCCCTGGTAGAAGGCTAGAGGTGAGAGAACAGGAGAAGCCAGTGTTATTGTTCCCTCTCTCTGCTTCCTCTGCTGCCTTTGGCAGCATATGGGTCTCCCTGTGTGGCAGACAGCTTTGGCAATGGTTCCAAGGAGCCTGCCTTCCCGGTATCCATGTCCTTGTGTAGCCCCTTTCCTTTGAGTGTGAACTGCACATGTTCTAATAAATAGCGTATGGCAAGAGTGATGGGATAGTGGGTCCAAGGTTAGCTGAAAAAGAGACTGTGACCTCTGTCTTGCTCATACTCTTTTCCCCTCTCACGTGCTTGCTCTGACGAAGCCAGGTGCAATGTTGTGAGCTATCCAGTGTGGCCAGCAACTGAGGGAGCCCTCTTGGTAACTGCCTGTGAGGGGCTGGGTCCTTCCAAAAATGGCTGAGTGAGCAGATTCACTCCAGGGCACACAGATGATTGCAGCCCTGGCCAACACCCTGATTACAGCCTCCAGGGATTCAGAGTCAGGGGAACAGCTAAGTCCCACCTGGTCTCCACACCCATGGGAACTGTGAGATAACGCAGGTCACTGGGGCTGATTGGTTCTGCTCAAAGATAACTAAAGTGGAGTTTCCAGCTCCCTCCAGCAGTTCCTCTTGTTATCAGCAGGTAGGGCTGGGTGGGCTCTGGGGGTGTTACCCTTGTTCTCTCCAGCCTGGGGTGGAGGGGCCTGCTACCCTTGCTTGTGCTGTGTTGCCTTGCTGTCTCCTGTTTGGGTTTTCAGATCCCTTATCACCTGTACTCATAAAGCTTATATCCTGTTTGAACCTCTCACCTTGTGTAGTTTATGTTTTTCTACATGAATCTTGCCTGAAAAGGTTACAGCCCACACATTTGGTAAAATGCCTCTCTTCATGTCCATAGGGTTTTTGTGTCTGGGAAGCTTTCCCTCTTGCTGTAAAAGTCAGAGCCTCAAAGGTGCAGGAGTGGATCACAGGTGGTCATTGTACAAGGGAGTGCCCAGTGCCCAAGGCAAGGAGGTGGTGAGAAAAAAAAAAGGCATACTTTGGTGCCTAATTTTGTGTTTTTAATTTGGTAATCATTTCCATAAACCTTGGTCTGCTCTTAAGGTAGACTGGATATGAAAACTATTGAAGGCCTAACAATATCTTTAATTCAATGAAAACAGCAATTTAATTAGACAAAAAAAGGATCTAAAATTAATATTCTACTACCACTTAACAAAAGCTTTTGACCTTTTCATTTTTCCTCTTATCAACAAGGCTTGCAATTGCTGTTTTCATTTGGGTTGGTTTTAAAAAGAAAAGCATAAAAGCTGAAAGATCAATAGGATTTACCTTTGTTTAGTAGCTAAACTCAGTCATTTTCATTGGATGGCCAAACTTCTGGGTCTTTTCTCAGAGAAGCAGGTCTATAAATCTTCTCTTATCTGTCATATATGGGGCTAATTCCTAGTTAAAGTCTCTCCCCTTTAGAGAGAGGTTGGTAACTAATGAAAGAAGAGTGAATGAGATTCAGTAGGAGCTTCTAGCGAAACGTAGATGTCCCTATAGAAGGAATTTCCGTATGACAATCATTTTACTAGCAGTAGATGAGGTTGAGAAAACGTGTGGTAGTTAGGAATATATACCTTAATGGAGAATATTCCTGCTCAGGAACAAGTCATTGGGATATAGATGCAGACCAACACTATTAAAAAAATAATGATAAGACACGCTGCCATCACATTAAAATTTTTTAAGGAAAATACAGTTTTAAAAAACTTCCAAACAGCAAAGCTTTCCTGATCTAAGGTTACAGCAGGAAGGAGTAAGAAACCTTTGTGGCTTTCTTTTAGACTTCCAGATTCTGTGATCTATGATGCCATTGCTCAGAAATCATTTCCATTCCACTCGATCAACCTTTCAAATTAAATAAAAATAATAACATTCTGGATGCAACTGCGTTACTTTATAGAAACCAGTAAGAAAGCTAATAACTTTTTCCGCCACTGATTTTTAGAAGACATGTCCTGCTAAAAATATGCTTTTATCAGAACCAATGCAGAAAAGCACAACAAATTGCATTTAGAAAGTGGCATCTTTCTGAACAACCAGCAATATTCCTGTTCTATAATAGGACATCAGCCTCTGAGAATACAGTGGCTTCTGCTAACCTTGAAGGATTGCGTCTGTCCATCCGTTCATTACTGACTCCTATATCCCAGGAGCCAGGAGGGATCTTAGAGGTTATTAATTCCCTCTCCATAGAAGGCAGTCAAACAAATTGAGGTGCTCAGTGATTGAGTGAGGTCCCTAAATCCCATAGCGGGTCTATGGTGGAGCAAGGCTAGCCCTCAGACCTCCTGGCTCCCAGCTGGATCGGAGAAGAAATTGCATTACCTGGTAAATATGGTTACATGAAAGATTGACTTAATGACTTTATGTTCCCTTAGAGGCAAATTCAAGTCTCCATGTAGGAAAGTCTCAATTGTCAGCTTTTTGGTAGTAGGACCTGTCTTACCTGAATGATAAACTTTCTGTTATGAAGAACAATAATCTGGAAGTGATGAAATGGTCCCAGTTGAATCACTGGGTTGCAACAGAGATGAATCACACTGTCATATTCTCTGTGGTGTCCAAACTATTCCCAAACCAGATTCTAGGTCCTTTTCTTGCTTTACTTTATTGTCTTTTTAATAAGCCCTATCTGTTTTCCTATTTAAAAGTCAGATAATTTTTTTTATCATAGCACTTCAAAAACAATATGGCATTTTGTTGTGAGATGTTGTCTTATTTCCTTTGGAAAGAGACAAGGCTAAGTTATATGCTATGAGGGAGTGTGGAAAAGCAGGTTAAAGTTCTGCAGGTGCACGTTAGTAAAATGGTGCAGTCTTATCTATGGCGCGATTTATACCCCGGACACCATCCTAGGCTCTAGCCCCCAACGCCATGGCTGAAAGCCAGGTGACCCCATGGCCCAACCACCAGTGTCAGCTCCACCCCCATCCTAATGGGATTCACTGCTCCTACCTCCCTGCCCAACCCCCAGCAGAGGTTCAACAAGACCTGTTCCTGAACATGTGGCTCTCTCTCTGTTTCTTGATCTCTCTCTCTCACTCTCTCTCTCACTCTCTCTCATGCTCTCCTTCTCCCTCTTTTCCTTCTTCACCCCTCCCCTCGGTCTGTCTGGTTTCCCCACCAATAAACCCTTTTCCTTAGTCCAGTGTTTGGTGTGTTTTGTGGAGGCCTTAACAGTACATGCACACACAAATAAAAATAAAATCTACATTTTTTGAGCTAAAATAGAATTTCCTGATAAAGTTCAATAACTCTGTCAGTGTAAATTCTGACTGAAAATTCCAAAAACAAGAGATTATATTGTCTTACCTAGAAGTGAGTTCTAGCCCAGTTCCCTGTTAAAGCTATTATATAGGGGCTGGTGCTGTGGCGCAGTAGGTTAATTCTCCACCTGCAGTGCTGGCAGTATCCCATATGGGCACCTGTTCTAGTCCCAGCTGCTCCTCTTCCAATCTAGCTCTGTGCCATGGCCTGGAAAAGCAGTAGAAGATGGCCCAAACACTTGGGCCCCTGCACCCATGTGGGAGACCCAGAGGAAGCTCCTGGCTCCTGGCTTTAGATCAGCTCAGCTCTGGCAGTTGCGATCATTTGGGGAGTGAACCAGCGGATGGAAGACCTCTCTCTCTGTCTCTCCCTCTCACTGTAGCTCTACCTCTCAAATTAATAAATAAAATTTTTTTTTAAAAAAAAGCAATTATATAAAAATTTATAAAATGTTTAGGTTTTATGAACTACAATTTTTTGAATTTTTCTTTCTAAGGTTGTCAAAAATGCCCACAATACTAGCCTAGCATTTAAAATCCTTTTGGGGGCCAGCACTGATCTGCAAGGCAGGCATTTCATGTGGGCTCCAGTTCAAGTCCCAACTGCCCCACTTCCCATCCAGCTCTCTGCTATGGCCTGGGAAAGCAGTAAAAGATGGCCCAAGTCCTTGGGCCCCTGCACCCATGTGGGAGACCCAGAGGAAGCTCCTGGCTCCTGGTTTCAGATTGGTGCAGCTCTGGCTATTGCGGCCAACTGGGGAGTGAACCAATGGATAAAAGACCTCTCTCTCTCTCTCTGCCTCTCCTTCTCTTTTTGTGTAACTCTGACTTTCAAATAAATAAATGAATATTTTAAAACATTTAAAAAAATCTTTTGTGCTTTATGTAACAACAAAAAAAAAGTGCACCGTTTCAGACCGAGATCACTGAATGGATCACTTGGTGTTTGAATATTTAAGTAGGATTGAAAATTGTACTCACATCACATAGATGAGTATATGCAGTACTCTGAGACTTAGATTTTCTATGTTCGCTCATATCTGTCAATTAAATTTGATTTTTCTTTACTTTTGCAACTAGTATATAAAAATTAATGAGATGATAAAACAAAGAATAATAAACTGATAGAGCAGAAATTTTCAGGTAAAAAGACAAGCTTATATATATATTAAGGTTCAGCAGATTTCATCTTAAAGAGTAAAAGAATCCTTTCTACATTCTCTCTAAACTGGGAAATATTTCTGTGGATTTGGTTCAAAAATAACCTTGATACACTGTAACCTTGAGCTAAGGCCAATGGAAAAGTTAAAATACACAGAAATATTGTTTTTTATCAGAGTTAGCTGCAGGGCATAAAGAGGCGGGGACTAGGTGAAAATTAGAGGAAAGTGACAGCCAGAAAGGAACTAGGAAAGGCATCTTAATACAAAACAGGCTCCTTCCTCTACCAGGCCAACACCTGGCATTCTTTGGGGCTGACCTTGGCATCATTTTGTTTCTTGGTTGTTAATGCAGATTCAAGTCCTAGTGGATATCCTTTTTCTTTTCTTATGTAGAATGACTTTCTACTGTTTGTCTCTTGCACTAGGGACTAAGCTTGAATTCATCTTTGCAACTGCAGTCACAATGCTTGGCATATAATAGCACACAAAGGTGTTTGATGCACGGATGGATGGAGGCATGGATGCATAGATGTATGGACGGATGAATGAATGTTTAGAGCTATGAATGAATGAAAAAAGCAAATGAATGAGCATTTATCCTCAGATTGTTTTAAACCTTTGGGGATTTTTTAGCCTCAATCTAGATATGAATCAGTTTCACCTGTAAGATGGATGTGTGGCATTGTATCCTCCCTTCTTCCCTGAGGGTGCTGGCACACAGTAAAAGTTCAATACATAAATGTTTATTAAGTGACAGTCTAGAGAGAGATTGTCTGGTCTCCAAATAACATGTAAGAAACCATTATTACTGATATTTCTATACAGGAAAGAGGGAAAACTGAATGTTTGGGATGAAAGAGCTCAGTCTTTCAATTATATTTACAATCAATACAAATGTCCTTTCTGCAGTGGCTTCCTCACCTCCCCCGCCCCCACCACCAGATCCTCTCCTTATACCCATGAATTGGGAGGAAAGCACCAGCAAATTTTGTTTCATTGTTCTACATGTGTACCAGTCACTTTTCCAAGTGGGAATACTAAAGATGATAATTGTTATGTTGCCTCATCTTGTCTGGATAGGTCCCCTTTAGTGGTTTCCTGCTGGTAAACCACTAACAACATGAAAAGAACTGAACAAGAGCAAATGAAAAGTAATATGGGGTGTTCTTTGAACAAATCAAACCTCCTGTTTGCAGGTTATCTCTGAATTATATGTAAATAGATAGAGACAGAGCTGTCATTTGGTGCTCTCTTGGATACGCTTCGGTCAGAGTAGAGAGACTCTTAGTCAAGGGAAGGCATGGTAACAAGTGATCAGACGCCATAGTTTGGGCACTTGACTGATTACCATGGCTGTTAGATGTTGTAGGACACCTGGGTTAATGCTGCAGCGCTTCAGGTGTCACTTCTGCTCCTGTGGGACTCAAGCTACCAGAGTCCTTGGTGGGTAATTTCTATGCAATCAGAAATAGACTTGAGCCGGCACCGCGGCTCACTAGGCTAATCCTCCACCTTGCGGCACCGGCACACCAGGTTCTAGTCCCGGTTGGGGTGCCGGATTCTGTCCCGGTTGCCCCTCTTCCAGGCCAGCTCTCCGCTGCGGCCAGGGAGTGCAGTGGAGGATGGACCAAGTACTTGGGCCCTGCACCCCATGGGAGACCAGGATAAGTACCTGGCTCCTGCCATCAGATCAGCGTGGTGCGCTGGCCGCAGCGCGCTGGCCGTGGCGGCCATTGGAGGGTGAACCAAAGGCAAAGGAAGACCTTTCTCTCTGTCTCTCTCTCTCACTGTCCACTCTGCCTGTCAAAAAAAAAAAAAAAAAAAAAAAAAGAAAAGAAAAGAAAGAAAGAAATAGACTTGAACAACACACTAACATAAAGGAAATTTTGCCTGAGGCTATGTTAGTTTTATTTTATCTCACATAACTTGTCTTTTGTGGAGGAAACAGTCTTACTCCATTATTGATGATTTGTGCTATTACATGGAGACAAGGTGGAGATAGTGAACATAATACGTGACCCTAAAGCAATTGCTTTTTGTTCCGAGAATGTAGTAGGAGAGACCACTTTGTCATAATGACTCACCCACAGATACCTTCAAGGCTGACTTTTCACACCCTTTTTTCCTAATTTTTTTTTTTTTGAATGGCTGAGTAGATAATTAAGAGAATACATGTAATGGCTACATGGCCATATCTACATCACAGGATCATCAAAAAGTTGGGATTCTGGCCCTATGTACTCAAGAAACAAAAAATGGATCTGCATTTTCCCCATTTCAGTCTTCAGAGGGGGTAAAAAGCCCCAATGAGTAATGCTTCCCTCTGTGCTCTGTTCTCAAAATAATATCATCCAGTCATGCCATTCCTCAAGCTCCTTGAATAGGGGCCAAGGTGCTCAGACACACTTATCTCTATCATTTATCAAGCGTGGTTAAGGAGACAAGACATAGATCACACCTAGTACAGTAACAAGGAAGAGTTTGAGATGGTATCTATAAAACTTAGTGACACATACAATCAGTTTGTGTGACACCAGAAATCCTTTAGTCTGGCTTCACATACAGAGGGGCTCGTTCAGAGTAATCATTTGTGTTTCTTTTTCCTTTGGCTGTTGTCCCATCTGCTAATATAGAATCTCAATACTCTAGGAAATCATGACCTCACACATGACTGGGTGCCTTCAAGCAATAAGGCTCCACGCACGACTGGATCTCCATGCAGCTCTGCAGCTTCCACTAGGTGCCCTGTGTCTATTAGGACGCTAAAGCTGGCACTAGGGCTGCACCTTCCTTTGATGCCTTGGGTAAAACCAAACCTACTAGACACTGCCACCTCTACGAGCCTCTGCTGTCCTCTTGCTGGCTGCCCTGGTCTCCTGATGGGCCCTCCTGCTGCTTCTTACTCCCAAAAGACATTGCTACAAAGGTGCCAGTGCTGCTTGGAGGCCTGTGCTAAATTTGGGCTCTAACTCTCTCTTTCTCTCTCTCTGTCTGTTGGGTCACATTGCAATAAAAAAGAAATGCAACTGGCTTGTGACCCAGTGTCACATTGAATTTTAATTGATACTTTTTTAAAGGACAGGCCTATTTCTCCCTACCATACAGCTATAGTTACAGAAAGGCAAGCTCCAGGATAATTGATATGGTAAGCATCATTTTGTCCTGAAAAGGACTCTTCTCCAACTGCAAGGCTCGGTAAGTAGACATTCTTTTTCCTAGAATGAATTCATTCCCTGTTGGCACATGAGCTCCCCAGCAGAAGCAATAAACCGCTTGCCACCTGCTGGGCTTATCTTCTCCTTCATCAAACATAGTAGCGGAGGCCCAGGTGGGGCTAATGTGGGCTTTTTTTTTTTTTTTTCTTTTAGCCAAAACTATTGAGAGTCAACTAGTGGGAAAGATAGAGGCCACACTCAAGAAAGCATGAGGAGGGTCAGAATGGGCCAGCTCATGTTGCCATGAGGAAGCCTAGGGGTGACTGAGTCTAGCAGGGGGACCAAGAAGGGTCTTAAAGGAATTCCATTTGACACCTGCAGGATGAATAGGGGTGAGAGAGACAGAGATGGGAAGAGAGGGGAGCTTCTGGTAGAGAGAAAAGTCTGTGGGGGGTTCAGGGAAGTGTGAGGAGTGGAGCAGGACTGAAAGGTGTTGGGTATTGCTGGGGGATAATGAACCAAGGCAGTAGGTGGGGGAGCACAGACAGGGCAATGAAGGTTAAGGTTAAGGTTTTCTTTTGGAGGCAATAGGAAGCCATTGAGGGTTTTGAAATAGTGATAGAGGAGGTGATCTGATTCTTGTGCATGAAAGACCACAGTGGGGCAGAGGGATTAGAAAAGGGCTGGATGGGAGACAGGAAGACAGACCATTTAGGAGGTCACTGCTATTGCATTGGCAACACAGGATGGTGTAGTAGGGAGGAGGAGGAGAAACTTGCATAGGCAAGATGTATTTAGGAGGTAGAGTTAAAGACCTGACCAGTGACTGAGTAAGAGCATGAGGGAGAAGAAGCAGACAGCAGCCCTAGCTTCTGACATGACAAATAAAAGGGCTCCAGTGCCATTACTGAAGTAGGAATTACAGGAAAAGAAGGTGTTTTGAGAGGTCATGGGGTTAACAGTTTTTACAAATTGAATCTGAATTATATTGAGTTACCTTTAAAATATGAGCCATTTATAAAATATATAATATTGATAGATCTCAATACATATTATGAAAAATTTATACACACATTTCAAAATTGTACCAAAATAACAATTTTGAAGCAAGCCCATACATTTTTTCCATAATGTGGATTTTCCATAAATTTTTAGAAGGTCCGTGTGTGTGTGTGTGTGTGTGTGTTCTATGTGTTCCTGGGTATGGGGGAGTGGAATAACTGTCTGTCTATCTATCTATCTCTTGGGTTGATCATATAGGGTCAAGGGTCCCAGCATAGGAATAGTAACTGTGAAGATTAGAAAGGGTGAGATTTCCTAGGGAGAGGGAGAAGGGTAGGAGGAAGTCTATGGGTGCCTCAGGTGTGAAGGGGGTAGAATAGGAGCTTCTGAGGCAGGAAAGCATGGGCAGAGGGAAACAAGGGATTCCTGAGGAAGGGAGCGCAAAGGGACAAAGGAAACGAGTGTCCTACAAAGAAGGTGGTTTCCAGTGGCCGATGCCACTGAGAAGTCCAGAAAACTAAGGTTAGAGCCAGACTATAGAGATCTACAGTCTCCTCTCCTCTGCATTATGAGGGAAAGAGAATTTGGACATGATCCAGTAAGCAGTGGGAATCCCAGGAAGGATCATGAGCTGGAAATCTATGTGTTAAAGTTATGTGTGTTTGCTGGTTTGGAAGCTGGGAGTCAGAGAGTTGTCCACGCTTGAGGGTGGAAGCACCTAAGGAAAGTGATGCCGATGCAAGAGAGCAAGACACCGACATGAGAAACCTTTGGAGAAACCATTTTCTCGTTGAATCATGGATGGTAGTGAAAGAGAACAGTCCGTGGAGACCCTGATCCGTCTAGTAATGGCAGCATGCCTCTTCGTTATAAATGTCATAGTAAGCAAAGGTAGCCAGCCTTTGGGAAAATTGATAGATTTCATTTGAGGCCATTAAGTTGTAGACAATATTGTAAAATATTGATTTTTTTTTCTTTTGTAGGTGGATGAAAATGGTGCCTGCTACAGGTTCTCTGCTTGGTCACGTTTTTGCATTTCTGGAAATATGGAAGTAAATTTCACAGTTGTCAGAGTTCAGTTTTGCAACCTCCACACTCAATTTCACAATTTTAAAATATAGATTAGGAGTGCTGAGGCATTTTGGTTTCATTTTATAGTCCTTTCCCCTTACTCAGTCCTTTCAATCTTGAGATGTGGGCTTGGGGCTGGCGTTGTGGCACAGCGAGTTAAAGCCCCAGTCTGCAGTGCCAGCATTCCATTTGGGCACCGGTTCAAGTCCCGGATACTCCACTTCCAATCCAGCTCTCTGTTTATGCTCCTAGGAGGGCAGTGGAAGATGGCGCAAGTCCTTGGGCCCCTGCACCCACCTGGGAGACCTGGAAGAAGCTCCTGACTCCTGGCTTCGGATCAGCTCATCTCCAGCTGTTGCGGCCATTTGGGGAATGAACCAGTGGATGGAAGACTTCTCTCTGTAACTCTGTCAAATAAATAAAATAAATCTTAAAAAAAAAAAAAAGTGGGCTTACTCCCTCCATATCAAAGGTGTTTTTGAAGATTTAGTTTTCAGATTTTATGGTATAATTTACACTGCCCCTCTTGGACTCATGTTTTCATATTTGTCCCTGAAGGCTGCCTAACCTTTGCTCTCCTTTCTCCTCTCCCATCTGTCGCCCCCAATTCCCTCCCTACTTACGTAGATCTGTCCCCAAAAGTCTCAAGTGCAGCCCTTCCACAGATAACTGAATGTCATGCTGAGGAAATTTGGCCTTGATAATCCACGTGGGCACTGGAAAACAGAAGCTATCTCATCTCGATGCAACATTTCAAAATTATTTCTCCCTTGTAACTCTGAACCACTTTTTCAAAACATCTGTCCCCTTCATGATTTAAATGTCATATTATAAACATTTTCCTCTTAATGTCCCGATAGTTTGCCTTTAAGATAACAAGCACATCCTTCAAAGTATTTAATAAGATCTGCGCAGTTCCTAGATGTTGAATGAACGAATGACAAAGGCAGCCAGAATGATGTCTGACTTTTCATTTCTTCTCTTGTGCTTTCAACTATTTCTAAAGTTTTTCTCAAGGAGTGGGTTTTTCCACCAGCACTTCAGAAAAGATGTCGGAGAATTTTACAGGTACTTGGAAATGTCTTGCTCATTGAGGCTGCTTAGAGTTTAATTAATTTCAAAGTTACAGGAAACTTTATTTTTAGGAAAGAAGAGGGGGAAAGCCTCACTCTGTTCCTAAATTTGTATTTATGAAATACATGAAACTTGTATAACTTAAATTAAAAAAAAATAAAAATGAAAAGAATTAGGAAAGAAAATGGCTTTCCAAATATACAGGTCTGGATTAATAGACAATAAGAATAATTTAAATATTTATATAGATACATATATATATGCCTTTTCTGTATTTTTTAATTTTTAATTTTAGTTGTTACATGTTTCTTTGGTGAGCACCTTGATATATTAACTTTATCACAAATTCTTTTATATGCAAATGTCAAAAATGCTTTCAACAAATCTGTGGGTGTCCTAATTATGTGTCACTTTAAGATAAAATAAAAACAGTGATTTTTTTTCTTTCAAACAATAGAAACTGAAATGAGATAACCAAAGTGGTATTATGGGCAATTTTTCTATTACCAATTCTGCTTCATATAGGACAATTGCAAAGTACCTTTCTCAAACTAGTTAGAATTTGAATCAGGATTAAACATGGCCATCAAGGTGAAATAATTAAAGTGCTTTAAAATTAGGGGGCCTTTTCAGTGGATATCAGGGTGTAGATCAACATGCATAAAATTCGTTGTTCAATGGAGAAGCAGGCAAAAGCAACAGGAGAATTTGGATGCTGGGGATAGGATTTGCAAGCTTTGAATTCTAAAATTTAAAAGAAAATTAAATGTAAAAAAATTTTTTTTGACAGGCAGAGTGGACAGTGAGAGAGAGAGACAGAGAGAAAGGTCTTCCTTTTGCCGTTGGTTCACCCTCCAATGGCCGCCGCGCAGGCAAGCTACATTTTAGCAAAGAGTAGAACTGACATACTACAAGGGAATTTTTTACTTTCTAAAAGTATTTTGGGAGCCGGTGATGTGGTGCAGTGGGTTAAAGCCCTGGCTTTCAGTGCCAGCATCCCATATGGGCACCGGTTTGAGTCGCGGCTGCTCTGCTTCCGATCCAGCTCTCTGCTATGGCCTGGGAAAGCAGTAGAAGATGGCCCAAGCGCTTGGGCCCCTGCAACCATGTGGGAGACCTGGAAGAAGCTCCTGGCTCCTGGCTTCAGATCAGCATAGCTCTGGCCATTGTGGTCATTTCTCTCTCTGTAACTCTATCTTTCAAATAAATAAATTTTTTAAAAATATTTTGAAGTAGATATAGATAGAAGGATATACATATCTATCTATATATAGCTGTCTTTATGTGAAGTGTTGAATTATAATTAGCCACACAGTGAAATGGGGGGATTTGTTTCTGGCTCACTTCAGATCAGCCTGATAAGCCTTCCATAGCCTTTCCTGTTTTTCTGCGTTCTCATTCGTGGAGTGGTCTACCTTAGTTTGCACTTGAAGGTAACAACACCATGAGAGAAGCAGGCTGCAAAATTGGACAAGGGAAAGCATGTCCCTCTTGATAAATCAGTGTCACACACAGAACCCACGTTTTATGAAGCATTGTCTTCACTATGGAGCTGTTTGATTGCGTTGTAGAAGTCATCCACCTCCATTACCTCTACTTGCGCTTAGCGAAGGTTTGCTTGCACCCGATGGCAGTTGGGAGATGAGGGTAGAAAGCTGCTGTACCTTTGACTGACACTTCTGGCTTGCTGTTCCCCATGGGGGAACCTGAGCCCGGGACAGAGGAGAGATGTAATCTGGACACTCCTTTGTCACAGGTCACCAGGGTGTGCTTGAGGGGACAGTAGACATAAATGGAACTTAGAGGCAGGGAAGGGGATGTGCCGCAGGCTCCTGCCAGTGGGTCAGCTAGGAGCTCTCCGGCTGCGCTTTCTGAAAAGGGAGCCCATCAGCAATGAGCTTTTCCTTTTCCAGCCTAACCATGGCCAGAGGGAGCAAGGGTCGTTTGAACTGCAGAAGGTGGCTGAGGCCATAGAGGGAAGTGGCTGCTCGGTGAGCACTGCCAGATGTTGAGATGGGCTCAGTGTGGGGCCCCACGGGCTGGCCAGCCATGGGGTCCCCATGTCAGGGTTTGGTCTGATAGCTGTCGTTGTGTCTTTATTGCAAGGCGGATGTTGCTAGTTTCGGTTAGGGCAATGCTTTCCAGCGGTCGGGACTTTCCAGAGAAGTTGAGCCTGCCTCGTAAACAACAAGATGGCGCCCAGGACTGTGCAGTGAGCCTGCCTGCTGCGTGACACTTCATCTGATTGGCCCGAGGACGCGTGCACACCGCGTGAACAAGCAGCGGATTGGAGTGTTCCGTGCATGGACTAGAGCCTGCTTGTGATTGGTTGAATTTCGTATATAAGCTGTGTGCCCAGGAAGGAGGGGGCTTTTTTCTCTCTCCTCTCTTCCTCCTTTCATGCTTTCTCTGTCGCTGTATTTTCTCAATAAAAGTCTACAGAAGTCCGATCAGCTGCGAGTATCGTCGTTCCTTTGCGGGCAAGGGAACGGCAGCTGTTTGGGCAAACTGAACAGTAACTGTGGCCTAGCTGACCCTGCAATGGCATGAAAAACATGAAGCAAATCCACTGGTGTGGCTGTGTGAAGATCCCAATTCAACTTATCCAGAATAATTCTCTCTGTTCTCAGAATTTCCGATGAGGAACCTCCACAGAAACTCTCTCTTACCAATACCTTCAGTACTGGAATTCTCTCATCGTCCTCCACAGTCCCAGCCACTGGGAAAAAACAGCTGATGGCAATACAACTCGAATATTTCTGGTGGGCCTTTACAGTAGCTAAAAACCCGTCCAAAAAGGCTGCTAGCCAGAACAAACCTTTCTGGGTAAAGATTGAACTGGTACTTGAGTTTGGCCAGCCACTGAATTACTTCATCTCTCTGGGTTGGAGAAACACTCTGGTTTGTAGGTAATTTCAGCACATTCATCTCCCACATCTGGACTTCCTAAGAGAATGCCTTTTCCAATAGGAATGACAATGGCTGGTTTTCCAAGAGTTCTGGAAATTTCATGATAGCCTTCGGAGCTGCCTGCCACCCAGCTTGATGTATTACCTTCTCCTCTTCCTCCTCCTCCCTGGCAGACATGTAGGCCTCACAGGGCTGATGCGGGGCCACAGGGGACCCCTTGCCGCCTCATTTTCCTTGCGGGACACGGAGCGGCCGACTGAGGATGGAGGAGGAACCAGGCAGGGAGGGCGCAGCACACAAGCCGTGACCCGTGGGTCCACAGCAAGTTAGTTCCATGATGATCCTGGATGTGAGGCCGCCACCGCGGGTCCGGCTCCTCCAACCACTACCGCTGGTGCCCCGGGCGGGAGGGGCTCCCTCCTGCCATTGGGGGACCGAAGAGAGGCAGGGAGTGCGGCCGGTTCTGCCTCTGCCCAGGGAAGCGCCTCCCAGGGGAAATGGTAAAAAGGGGGAAGGGGTGATAAAGGGAGGGGAAAAAAAAAGGAAGGGAAGAGGAAAAAATAAGAAAAAGCAAGACAGAGGCGCTGCCGCATCCACTTACGGGGAAGGCTGGGGAGGGAGGGGGGAGGAAGAAGTCCTGTATTAATTTTTTAAAATTAATACCTGGTAGAATATGTGCAGTGATTTCCAGCGTTATTATTAATAGACGCCATCTAGTGGTGTAGAATAGCATACATCAATTCAACTTACATTGTCATGTCGGTTGCTTTATTATTTCTTAAAAGTAGAACCAAAAACATTGATAAAAAAACAGTGTATGAGCCGGCGCCGCGGCTCACTAGGCTAATCCTCCGCCTTGCAGCGCTGGCACACCGGGTTCTAGTCCCGGTCGGGGCGCCGGATTCTGTCCCAGTTGCCCCTCTTCCAGGCCAGCTCTCTGCTGTGGCCAAGGAGTGCAGTGGAGGATGGCCCAAGTGCTTGGGCCCTGCACCCCATGGGAGACCAGGAAAAGCACCTGGCTCCTGCCATCGGATCAGCGCGGTGCGCCGGCCGCAGCGCGCTGGCCGCGGCGGCCATTGGAGGGTGAACCAAGGGCAAAGGAATACCTTTCTCTCTGTCTCTCTCTCACTGTCCACTCTGCCTGTCAAAAAAAAAAAAAAAAAAGAAGTGTATATATCAAGTAGAAATCAACTTGATATAAACTTTAAATCTTCTATGGTAGAAAAGTGAAAAAATGTAGTACATTATCTCTCAGTGCAATCCATCAACCCACTCCATTCTTCTTCAGATATTGATCAAGTCTTTCTCCAGCGCCAGGTTCTGTATGACAGACTGGAAGTAAAACTAGTTTTCACCTTGAAGTGTAAGAGGGAATGAAGAATACTGATGAGCTACTGTGTTTTCAGCATACACACTGTGC